CTTTGTCTTGCATTAGATTTTGTCCTTGTCAATGATTTCCAAGGCCTTCACTGTTGTGACAACAGGTACACATATGTCCTTTTACTAAAATATACAGTTTTTCTGGGCTTTTCCAAGCTGGCACTAACTGGCTTAACTGGCTCAGGTGCCAGTTAAGCCAGTCACTGTTGATTTTAGTCACCGCTTCACTGAGAGCCTGCAGGGCAGCGAGGCTTTCATCGTGGTAGCTTTAAACGGCACAGTGGATTTACTGTAGTATTTGGTGAATAAGTGGAGCAGAATTTATTCTTAAGGTAAGGTGCAGCAGTCCTGTGCTCCTGTGCATGGCTGGAGATGAAGCCGCTCTTTCAGAACAGAAAGCAGGCCTGTTTAAGTACAAGGAACACATCTAAGCTTTCAAGTGGAAATAAAAGCCTGTGTTTGTGAAATAATAGTCAGGGTTTGGAACATGTTGGGCAGAGTATTATTAGGGACATTTGAAGTCACTCTGCACCTTAAACGCATTAGGATTGGGTTACTATAGATAATGGACCAGTGTAATTCCTAAATTACTAGGATGATGGTGTAAATGTGACACCAACTGGATGAGTGCTAAGGTTTTTCTAGAGGTCATGAGGTCCAGGTTAGGGATTTCAGCATTTGCTGTTTATATTTTAGATGGGTAGCTGTGGTGGGAATTCACAGGTCATGCATGTGTGAGCGATGCTTTATATAACTATATGATTCCAATGAGTTGAGACTCAGATATGCTCTGTCTCTGTCAGAGTTTAGGGGGCACTGAGTTTTGTCAGTAAGGAAGATTAAGGGCACGTGTGACGTAAAGTGTCAACCAGCAACCTGAGTTTCATGTGTGTGCATGGGGAAGATGGCTTTATTAAATATGGAGCCTCCCAAGGTCCACTGATAGTAGGCTTTGTGTAACTGACTCATTTGGGTAGCTGCACTACACACAGTCCAGTCGGAGCATCGGTGCTCTTGATACTTTTGTTTCTGCTGAAAAATACAGTAATTGGTTGAGCTAGTTGTAAGCTAAATAACACCAAACGATTTAAATTGTTGTAAAATGGGTTATTGTACATATTTTATTTTGTATAAGATTGTGTTTTTAATCTGATATCTGCTGTGGATGTGATGGTGTCAGGCTGTATGGACTCCTCTAGAATGTGGATATGTTCCCACCTTTAGCTGCGTTTGCACCAGAGGAACTTTCCCCAGGTAGCAGGAACCTTCTTTGGAATGTTGTTCCTCTGCCTGCGTTTCCACCGGAGGATCCAGGGTCTAAATTTGGTCCCGGCCCTGGAGCACAGCAGGGCCATTCAAATCAGCCATTCAATCCTGAAATCCAGCCTCAGTGAGGACACTAAAGCAATCAGTATTATAATGAAATGCTGTCTGTTCTCCAGACAGGAAGCTGCTTTGTCACAATGGGAATCTCAGACAGTTAGGGCCACCCGGTTGCCAAATCCCCCCCCCCCTCCGGTATGGCCTCCCTATTCTCCACACTAATGAAAGCTTTTGTATTATGTTATGAATTCAGATGAGATTAAAGATGCAGTGCAAGAAAAAACAACTAGCAGACTAAAATCAAACTGGCTGCTGATTGCTGAGGATCGCTTGAAGTTAGCACCATCTGCTCCACAGCTGTGCTCATTTGTGTGCCGGCATAGAGTCCAGAGACCAGCCCTGACACCGCTCACTGGCTAATTTGCTCTCCCGAATGGGCCTCCTTCTGTAAGTTTGGTCATTGTGCCCCATCTGGCAGATGCTTTTGGGCTTGGTTGAGGAGCCACAGCTTTATTTTCAGGGTCACTACCTGGACACAGTGCTGGTGCTCTCCTCAGCATCCTACCTGCTTGTTCTTCATCCACACCACCAGGCTGCTCTGCCTTGATACGCCCTCCAAAGCACCATCCTCTGGGGCATCTGAGCCCATCTGTGTTTCTCTCAGCAGCCAAGATACACACACTTACTGGTGGCAGTGAAAAGCAATTTAGTACAATTACACACATGCAGTACAAAGTTGAGTTACTATACTTGATTATTTTATGCCACATAATACCCACTACTACCTATAGTATCCACTCCACTACATATAAGAGAAAATATTTTTACTCCACTACATTTATGTGACAGCTTTATTTACTGGCTGTGACAGGCTGGTGACCTGTCCAGGGTGAACCCCGACTCTCAGCCCCCCGCGTGACCCCATTCAGGATAAGCAGTGTTCTGCTGCCTCCCTCGCTGCGTACTGGGAAAACATTTTCTTTCCAATGGTGCTTGCAGAACCTTTGAAGTCATATTTCACATGCTACAAAACAATGCCAGCATGGACAAAATGTTATTTTATATAGCAAGATTTCATGTGAAATTAGTTAGGATGATGTGGCTCCTGAGTTAAACAGAAACAGAAGTTTCTGCAACGTTGGGCCGTTGCACAGCACCTCAGTCTGGATGCCGTGTCGGCAGGCAGAAACCACCGGAGCTGCAGCTTGCTCAGCACAATCTTAGTGTTTATTATGCTTTTAAACCGCTGCTTAGCTGCACTGTTCCATGTCAGATAAATGATCCCAGAATAATCCTGCACACTAACAGGCACATGTAACCTGAATGCACAGAGACAAGTTATTAACCTGTTGTTCTGTTGCTGTTCAGTCCTAATCCGCCAAGAACAACTATTGACTGTGTGTTTTATTTTAAGCAACCAGTGATGCCAGTGTACTTACTGACTTGTGAACCAGAGGTAGATTTACTGCAGTTTAATAGTCTCCTGGTGGGATTTTACAATTGCCAAGACATTTCACAAAACAAAACAAAAAAGCCAAACATTATCAGGTTTTGGACTGTTGGCCAGACAGATGTCACCTTGTGAGGCGACTGTGGTTCAGTGGGTAGAGCGGTCGTCTCCCAACCGGAGGGTCGGTGGTTCAGTCCACATGTTGAAGTGTCCTTGGGCAAGACACTGAACCCCCAAGTTGCCCCGATGGTTAGAGCCATCGGTTGAGTTGGTGCCGCAGATGGCTGCCTCGGTTCTGTACTGGAAACAAATTCCTTGTGTGTAACATACTTGGCCAATAAAGGTGATGGACAGTTTTTCTAATATTTCATTGACTAAACAATTAGTCAGTTGTGAACATGACCATCAGTTGTAGTCCAAAAATGGAGCTCATTTTCGTTATTCTGACGGCATTTGAACAACAATTTCACGTCTGAATGTTCACCCTGGTCACTTTTTTGGAAAGGTTGAAAGAGTAGTGTTACATTTATCTAGCACTTTCAACAAGGCAGAAGTCTGAACCTCACGCAGTCACATTAACGGCTAGGCACCCACTAGAGTAGGACATACTGATGTTAGGCATTGTTATGTATAGATGGGCCTTCCAATCACAACAGTCCAGATCTGCACATCTCTTGTGAATCTCTGTGAGATACTCAGCTTAATAAAACATGACAGTTTCCCTAAACAACAATAACATGAACTCTTCTGTTCGGCAGCCATGTTGCAAAAAGAAAACTCTGGCCTCATACATTATATGTGATATTCTGTCCAGTCTTGTGTGTATGCCAACTACCACGGCTCTCTTCATCACGGCTGTGGGTTTGTCTCAATGACACCAACCCGTCTCATTAACAGACTGATGAAGCAGTGTTACATATCCTGTGTCTGAAAGGGTTTTATGATACATTTAACTCTACCACAGTCTGTTATTCAGAATAAAGTGAAGATGCCCTCTTTTGAAATGTAATATTCCATTCTGGCTGCTGCTGAAAAGCATGAGGGCAACAAACCTCAAAAGTGTGAGCTAAATGCTGCATTACTGCATAAAAGAGCAGTTTAAAAAGTGACATCAGCAATGAAAACAGATTTGCTCACAGTGAGATTATCCCTGGGTGTGGTTGCTTCAGGTTTGGTCAGTAGGAGATCGTTTGAGGTTACAGTAAGACGTGGCCAGATGTGGACTAGTATGGTATTGATTATTTAGGTAATGTATCTTCCCATGCTGCATGAGTTGGAGCTTTTGACAAGTATTTCCTTTCTGGAGGACTCCCTCACTTCTATATAAATGGAGATGGTGAGAGAAAAGTGATGGTGTGGGGGTGGAGAGGGACATGAGAGCAAAGCCATGCTTGCTCCCTTGAGCTTGGCCAAGCAGGGTAATTTACACAAGGCCAGAGAGAAGAAGAAGAGACAGAACAAAGCTTTATATCTTGTCAGCCATGGCTGCTGTATGCCACAGATGCTCTCATCACATAGCTGCTGTGATTTGGAACACCATCCCCATTTCAGTCTCAGTCAGTGGTAGAGTGACGACCTGATGCATATTTTCATCCCTTGGATCGACACTACTGTGGCTAAAAGTGGGGAGACAGTTTGGGGGAGACAGGTTGGGGGAGACAGGTTGAGGGATACAGCGCTACGTGAAGAGGCTGCCAACATATTTACACTCCAGTGAAACCAAGAAGCAGGTCATGAAATAAAACTAACACATTAGGTGATGTCCATGATCCACATACTGCCAGCTGACAGTTGTGGAGAAGCTAGCAATGGGTGGCGTTAGTGGCTGCGTCATCTCGCTGTGGGCCTCTGGGTGTAAAACAATCCCAAATCCCACTAGTGTGGGCTCCACATGTGGATGGGTGTGGCTTTGGGTAGGTAGGTTGGAGGTTGTTGGATGAACCCGACAGCCCCCCTCACTGTGTAGACACCTTGTTTGCCACTTGGCTTTGCCAGAGCTGAACTGCTCCCGAGGCGACATCCCGCTCACTTAAAGCTCACCCAGACTCACTCCTGTTGCCATGAGAACATGTCTGGCTCTGAAAAGTCCATCTGTCGCTCACAGATTTATGGAGTGTCATGTTTTCAGAGAACGTAGGAAATCAAAAGCAGATTGTAGAACGGCTGTTCTCCTGCAAGATGAATGACTTTATTGAAATTTATTTCAGCTGTGCAGTAACACATTACCACACATGCACTAACAGCTTCTCTTGCTTTTGCTTTTCAGGGCAAATATTGATGAGGTTGAAACAGAGGTTGTGGAGGTCGAGGCAAAACTAGATAAGGTAAGATGTTTATTAAGCATATGTTAAGGAACAAATCAGGATTAAATAATAAGACAAGGTCCTGTTGGTACATTTCTTTGTGCGTTGAAACACCCATGTCATTCTTTGTGCCACACAGTCAATGTCACATCACATCTTCTTTCTACAGAGATCAACCTGCCCGTTACACACGGCTGATCACTCCCCCTGTTATATTACTCTCCGTTGCCTAATCCCACAGTGCTAACGTTGCTAGCCTCAGCTGCTCCCTGCACAATGGATGCTCAGTCCTGGTGTACAGCTCAGGTCACTGAAGCACGATGTTTGACATATTAACTAGTTAGCATTTGTCCCTGCTTACAGTCTTAGCTAAGCTAATCATATATTGGCTCTAGCTTTATTATTACTGTTCATAAATGAGAATTTTATTCATCCTCCCCTCTAGCTTGTGCAAAAACATCCACCAAGGGGTGGCTCCAGTTCCCTATGATGCCATATAAGCAATAGTCCCATGATACAGTAGTTTGACCCTCATAATATGATATGATTTATGACCATGAAAACGCTGATGCTGATATCATTATTAGTCTGAAACTTATTCAAGAAAAACTATAGACATGTCAGACCTTCACTCACTGGTTTAGGGGTAAAACTGGGACTTCAGTGAGCGAACCGCTTGTTCAACAGCTATTTGATAACTGCTCCTACGGTCTCGTTACTGGCTGACTTAATGAGAATATCATTATCTACAGTGTCTTTTGCAAATAAAATGAATCCGATATTAATCTGCTTAGATATCATAGAAAAAAGGTCGAGTCTCACTTCACATTTCACACTGACCTGAACAACATCACTGATCAGCTCAGGGGATTTTATCATCACCTCTTCCAGAGATATAAATCCAGTCTGAAAGGTAATTGTGTCTAATACTGACACTAAAATCTCCCAGTCAGCCACACAATAAAACTAAATTCCAGCTGTCTCTTCCAAATGTGTCCCTTTCCTCCACAGCTGGTGAAGCTCTGCAGTGGGATGATTGAGGCAGGGAAGGCATACGTCAGCGCCAACAAGCTCTTCATCAGCGGCATCCGGGATCTGTCTCAGCAGTGCAAGAAGGATGAGATGATCTCGGTGAGGCCCCAGTGAGCAGGGAATGTATCCGAGTAGTTTAACCGAGCCCCTGTTTGAAGCATTATAGCGTTTATTTGTCAGTGCTGTCATTTAGTGAAGGGGACTGTTACCATAAGCATCTCATGGGGACTGTCCTCGTCTTTAGGTGTTAGCCTTACAGCTCTCTGTCTTCTGTGTGTGTTATTGTGTGTGAATAAGCCTGATTACTAACAGATTAGTAAGTGAAGTCTGGAAATGTATTTCTGGCTCGGCTCGCAGCACAGACGTCTTGGACAGGTTTCATTGCTGCTGACATTAAGTGCTATTAAAAGCCTTCTTGGCTTGAACCATATGACTAATTGTGAGTTTCCTATTAAAGTCTTGTTCATATTTGCAGTTTCCATTATAAAAAAAGAACTGAATCAGCCCTATAATTATAGTTCCTTTTCCCATATGAGGTTCTAGGGAAAAAGTCCTCTAGTGCACAAAAGTACACCTCATGACATTAACCAGATTTTTTCATTTGCTTCCATTTAAAATTCAAATAAATTGTGGGATTTGTTTGTGACCACTTTTATTTGCTTCTTTTGTCCTAAAATGTAAATACAGCTGCAGTTATGAGAATGTTTCTTTATTTTCAGGTTAGAAAA